CCCCTGAAAATGAGAACCTAATTGTTGTTCGATGCTATAGTGCACATATTGTTAACAGTGATACCAGTCTAACTAGGAAGTACCAATGTGGTGGCCGGTTGCTGCACTTTAACCCGTAGCCTAGTAACAATGGGCAATCAGCAATCCAGTGAATAAATAGAGATCATCACCCTGTGCGTGTGCAAACACGGGAATTCTTCCTCTTCTTCCAGATTGGCAAGTCGACCAGCGCCATCTCTTGCCGCTGAGTCTGATGTGTGTTTTCATCCGTTAGATCGTATCAGCACATCGGGCAGTACAGTGTAAGAACATACATCGGGAGCTGTGAATTTTTAAACCCTGTGATTTCATCATACAGTTTGAGCTGGCACTGAGTATAACGAAAAAAAAAAAAAAAAACATACAGTGTATGCCCAGACTAAGCAGTGTGGATAAAACATGTCATATCAAGTGCCTTCAGGAGCTTTGATTTGAAAATAGTTTAATTCTTTATATGCATAGAGTTCTGAAAACCTTTTAAACCAGTTATTTTGTGACAGCATCAACAAAGTCATACATGACTTACCGGGTATTAACGTGAGTTTATATAATCACGTGACATAGGAAGCTTAGACATGCTTGGTGCTGTTACTGCTGTGTTTGTATCCTCAGTCGAAGTTACAGGTCTATTCACCCTCTAGTTTCTAGTCAGGTTGATTGGTTTTCTCCTACTGTTTGGCAGTATTTTAACTGTCCAATATATGTTGGTTGATTACCTCACCAGTTAAGTTTTTTCCCTACAAGTTCTCCTTGAATGATTTGGCAGTGTTTTCCATACGTTCTCCTCTTGAGTCATCTAATAGACTCACTGGTAAAATTTTTCTAAAGCCTTGTTGAGTCCTCTACGAGAATCCCTTGTTGTTTGGAAAGGGCCTGGCCTTGCTGAGATATGTTATTGAGGCTGTTTATTGTCTGGGTGGCGGATCTTCGTGACCTTGTTTGTTTGTATAAACCAGTGCTTGCAGCACTGCCTCTGGTGGTCAGTAGGGATCAAATTGAGAGACAGAAAGGATCCTGGTCCAATTGAAATAAATTGAGGAAAGCAGCACTTTTTTCTGAAACCCCCATGCTTCCCTTTCCCCAAACATCTCTTCCTGGTCTGCTGGGGGGGAGCAGATGAAAGACATAGTCCCTCTGGTGTCCTGGGCCCCTCCTTGTGGGACGTGGCTGATTCGGATGCTTAGGAGAGGTTCCAGAGGGGACTCGCATCCCTGGATGTGAGCCCTGGCTTTAAAACTCTCTTCCCTCCATTCAAAACAGATGTCTGAGCCACCTCAGCTGACTCCTCTTGATGTGGAGGAGGAGTGGCTCTACTCCAAGCCTTGCATAAATCCAACTATGAAGTGCCCGGCCACTCTGCAGAGAAAGCCCATTTATGTCACTTGTTACCCTTTTCTTTCATGACACAGCTAAAACACAGTCATCACATTATACAGTCTCATTTCATCACCTTGTTACTAATCTGGTATTTGGTGATCATTTTACACCAAAGATGCACCATTTTAAACTGTCTCAGAGAGACTTTGCTGCATATTCAGTCAGTTTGTTTTTTTAATCTATTCTTTCATTGAAATTTTTAATTAAAGCAAATCCCATTCAAGTTTTTTAATGCAGAGTGTTGATAGTTTTCAGTTACACAGCAAAATAAAATAAAATAAAGTTTAAATACTCTGTTAAAATATTAATTCCTTAGCATAAACTTGCCAGTTTTTGGTCGCTGGCAGAACCAAGAGTATTTTTATTTGATGGAGGTCAGAATATATTTCAAGTTTTTTTAGTTTTCTCCTTCAAATAAAAAAAAAAACACTTATATTTTCTTACTGTGAGGCAGAATTACCTTTTTAGCTGTGACTTGGGTGAAGCAGTTTGTATGTTTGTCTATCTTCTGGCCTGTTGGCCCATTCCTCTGTATAGAACTTGTGCACCTGAATCTGGTTTGCATGTCACCTTGCTCTCACATACTAAGATTTATGATGGGCACTCTAAAAGATTGACTGTGTTGTCCTTGAGCTTCTTCTTATCTAATTTGGTGTGATGATTGAGGTTTTAGCCCATTTTGAAAAAGTCTTTTTCTCCTCCTCTCTGAGTAGTTTTTCAGACCATGCTCAATACAGGATTCACTCCAATGATTAATGGCATTCTCTTACCAGGTTTGTTCTGCATCTTCACACATGAAGACACCAAAACACATTTATTTATGGGACGCAACTATTATATTTTTCCTACAAAATTGCTTTCCCCCCGCTTTTTATTCTAGCATATAGTTTGTTTGTATTTTTAAACACAGAACTATGGCATACGACACATCTGCTAATAGTATGATTTCATTAATTTATACAACAGTGAAAAAAACATGTTTTCTTTTTTCAGCTTGCCTTGCTTTCAAATGCAAATTTAAAAAGAAAATATCTTTTTGAAAGTATAATTTCTGCTTCTACAAATTATTAGTTAAATTTCTGAGGAACTATTATAGTGTAAATTTCTTTGGTAAAATAACTTCTTAAAAAAATGAATAAAATATATTTTTTTAATTCATTGTATTTTGATAATGTGTATTTCATCCATTGTTATACGGACTTGAGATTGTGAGAGCTGCATTTCCATCAACACACTTTATTGGCTACACATCTGTAATCTTGTTATGTGAAACAAGATAAAATTGATTCATTGTGAAATTATTTGTCTAACTACCAAATAATCAGTTGTACGATGAGGTTCACACTCCTTAATGTCACTGAATGAAAATATTTCTCAATAGCAGCACATCCACATTTCTACCACTAAAGAAGTGTAGATCTGTTTTTAGCATTTTAAAATAGCAGTCACGTCTTGGAAGATATTTTTAATCAGCTTTCTTGTATTCCCAACATATAATCACAGAATAATCAGTATTCATATAAACTCATACAAACTCATGATTGATATAGATATGAATCCAACATTTATTTATTTTTTTTGTAACGTAAGGCATTGTATCACAGAGTTATATTATAGCACCATTGTGAACCCACAAAATATTGGTTATGATTCATTTTTCACCGTTATAGACGAGTGCAGACCTGAATGGCTGAAAGACTGACTGTGAATCAGAAACATTTTAGGCCATCTGTATTATGGAGTTTCTATGAAATGCTTGCACAAAGAAAATACAGATTTGATAATATATACAGAATAAAAGGTTGGACCTCAGTTTATTAGCTCAAAAGAACGCCACAGAGAGGGTTCAAGTTTCCTTACAGATTCCATAATCTTAATGATTCAACATAAGGAGGGAATCGATGTGACATTAACAGCTTGTGCAAACATTACCACACCTAAGATTGTACTTTAGCAGCAGTGGAGGTATTTAATATTTAAAGACTTTGCATGATTAGAGTTTTAAAACCCTACTTTTTTCATGTAAATGGAATTTCTTACCTTAGATTGGAAAGTGCTGTATTGTATATAATAAAAATATGTCATAAATAATAGTTCTGTTTCACTTAATGAGAAAAATATGAAGATATGGTTTTAACACAATAACACAAGGATTTCCAGTATGTTTTCAGAACAGATACATCAAGTAGGATGGGGAAAAAATAAGTGTTTGTTTTTTACTGATGCTTTACTGGCTCATCTGTACCTGCATTACCTCTGTGTTACATCTGTTTGGATTTTTTAAATTAGAAAGTCTCCTGAATAGTTTGAACACCAATATTCAGCTAGTATTTGATAGTATCTGTTTTTGTTAAAGAGTGGTTTGATATGACGATGAGCCTTCTTCTGAACTGCTCTGTAGCAGTGGCTGCCTCTCTCCATAGTTTGATGCTCTCTTTCTTCTCTGGTTCCGCTTCCACCTCCTTCTTGCAACAACAAGTACAACGGCAGAAATCGAAGCAATCAAAGCTCCAAGGATCCCGGCCCCCAGCAGCCACTGCCAGATATCTTGAGCTTGTTGCAAGTAAGGGGTAAGAAACTCCTGCACAAACCTCTGACCTGTGGACAAGCAGAGTGGATCAGATGCAACTAAGGGGCAGAGAGCAATTAAAAAGCAAATTTAGTAGACATGTTTGAAGTAATGTACTAACCTGGATCCAACAGGTAAGAATACTCATATCCTAAAGCCTTGTTGGACAGGAAATAGTCTCCGTTTCTGTAGAGTGGTAGAAAAGGTACCATATAGTAGCCATCATTATGGCCTATAGGGGCATTGGCTCGTGGGTAGCTGCTCCGCGGAGGCTGGTGGTTCCTGAGCCAGCGTTCAAAGATGCTGCAAAGGATAAAATGTCAAAAACGAGTACAAAAAATTTGATGAATTGGTTAATTATTCTAGCAATTATTCTACAGTTAGATGAGTTTGAGCATCCTGCATCAATAAATGATGCAGCTTTGGTTTACCTGTCAATGAAGGCATGGTGCAGCAGGAATATAGGGTCATTGGCTGAACCTTGGACGGAGGACATGGAGCCATTCATGAAGACGTGCAGAGAGTTGTGCATGGTGCTCTGGCCTGGTACTGCTAGACCTGTCTCTGGGCTGGCAAATCCTGCAGGAGGGGACACAGATTGAGGTATCACAAAGTGAAGGATGAAATGGTAAATAATGAATGGACGGCTAAAATCACATGGAGAAAAAGATCGGAATAAAATGAGAAAGATTGAAGTATATCCCTAACTAAGCTTATGGGAAATCACAAGTACAGGAAAATGCACAATTTGGATTGTTCATAATAAAAAATTGCTCCTACAAAACATGCTCCTGAACTTTGTAGACCCTCTCAAGAGTTAAGGCTGAAATAGCTTTAAAGGGAGAACCAACGTCCCATTGACATTTCATGTGCTTGTCAAAGCAGGTAAGTGAATACTTTTGGAAGTACAGTATATTTTCCAAAATCTTTTTGAACTCATCAGAGTTTGTGAGACAGGTCTTTGCTCTAAGCTCTTTTTGGTCAGTTGAAGTTATGGGCATTTTTGCACTGTGTTCTTTTTGTTGCTGAAAATGGACACTGACCCTAACAGAGTAAAGTGGGACTTGCAGGGTTTTAGTTGTTGTCAGTTATTTCACAATCTCCTGGATGAGTAGTTGATCTGTTGTAACTTTAGTTTTTCGAATAATGGCTGTCAGTTTGATTTCCCTGACACTTAAAGCCTTAGTAGTTTTGTAACCCTTTCAAGGCTGATGGATTTAAACAAGTTTTTTTTCCCCCTTACATTTAGCTTAGGGCACAAAGAACTGGCTTTGGAGATTATTTAGGTCTGGTGGTGATCAGACGAGACGTAGGTGGTAAAACAGATCCATAAACTAAAGTTGATAATTCAATTCATAAATGACCATGGTGAATGATTATATACTCACTTGGCCCAGGTCTGTTTGGATTGCTTCTTTTCTTTAGTAACGATTGAAAACTATTTTATGTATAATGAGGTTTTCTTTGGAGTTTGATTTAATTTCATTATGAAAAATTTTACTTGTGAAAAATTAAAATAAAATGAATCTGCAAGGAAGGAAAATCAGCCCTTTTCACAAAAATACAGTATCTCACAGAAGGGAGCTATTAATATATATAGAAATAATCCTAAAGAGATTTACATAAACGGTCATATGACATTTTTTTCAGGCTAATGATCCTTTTTGAGTTAAACTCCAGCATAATTTGCATAAGATTAAAAAAGGCAACACACAGTAGGACTAAATTCATGTTGGCATTGGCTTCTCTTTGTACAAATTGTATTTCATAATTTGTCTGTTTTGGTAAAGTATTTAATGTTATAGTTTAGTCTATGTGCAATTGGACAATGTTCTTTCTCTTTCAGTTAGATATACTGTGCCCACATCAGTGTTTCAGTTTTCTCTACCCACTTTTGAATAAAATGAAATAAGAGTAGGTGTTTAAATGTTGGTATATTTACCCTCCAGGACGTTTCTAAAACTCATGTTGGAGAATCGGTCCATGTTTCCCGTCTCATACCCAGGAAGGCCCACAGCGAAGTCCACATCAGCTGATGTAGGGAGTCTCGGTACGCGGTTTTGGTCGTGGTTGCCTGGATTACGCAACAGTGGACCCTCTCCTGTGGCGTTGCATAGAGCCTCTCGGTTGTTGTATTCCTCAGGCTGAGAGCAGATCACCTGTACCACAAAATATAAAAATAAAGAGCTGTCAAATTACAAGAAGATGTTTCCTGTAAGCAAACTAAACTTTATGATTTTATTTATAAGGAGAAAGCAAAGAAAATTTCCAATATGAACCAAAGGAATATGGTCCTCTGTGTCAATAAGTAATAATACAAAATCAGCTTTTTTAGGTTTCATTGGTTAACTGAGTATAAACCTTTACAGGATTTTGTGATTTAAAAAAAAACTATTTAGCAAACAAAGGCTTTTCACATTCTACACTTGAAAGACATTTTTGCTCCCTTTAAATGTGAAACAACTGTTTCCTAGTAATGAAGTGTGTTAGACAGATTTTTCTACCTTCCACGAGGAGAAGACAGAAGCAGGGCTGATGAGGTTGGGATTTAGGGAGCTGCGTCCGCCCATCAGAGCATCGGTGCACACTTCACAAGACTGGGCATTCCTCCAGTCCCAGTATGGGATGGTGAAGTTAAAATCTCCTGTAATTTTCCTTATCTCATTCTCCCAGTGTAGCAGGAAGACTCTGTGCCAGGGAAGGAATGCTGCAGACTCATGGGCAAAATCTATGTCTCTCCAAACATTCCCTGGGCCTCCCAAGAAGGTGTCTCTGGAGACATAGTAGTGTATCCAGACAAACAGGTCGTAGGTGTTGATGTCAGAGAACATGGGGTTCTCACCGTTTTCCCCCATCTCTGCTCTTGTTGCTGTGGAGATGACATAGTCAGGGTTGATGGTGTTTTTAGCCAGGTTTAGGTAAGAGATGAACTTTTGCTGCTCTGAAGTTGACATGGTCATGATGTTCCTGCGCACAGATTCTCTATACTGAGCACAGTTTGCACCCCAGTACCCAAACCTGCACTCTCCACAGTTAAAACCTCCATAGTTTCCAGCACAGCGACACGTCCGGTTGAAGAAAGCCAAAGGCCATCGCTCTCTGTCATCAATTCCATCGTGTGGGTACTGCGGCCCGTTGGGCTCTTCTGATACCAGCACCTCAGTGCAGAACCCGCGGCCTGACAGGGCTCCGCAGGGTGAGCCGTCTCCTTCCCAAACTGGACAGCACTCTTTAGTTCGCAGCCCCTCGGAGTTAGCACAGGGGCGAGGGAACTGGGTGAAACAGAGCCCCATCAGATGCAGGAGGACAGCAGATCCAAACAGGTTCCTCATGATGAAAAGTCACTTTGGTTTGGTAATTTTACTAAAAATCAGAACCTGTTACCTTCCCTAACCTCTGCAGGCAAATACAAACATTGGAAAGAAGCACTGATTAGTAAAAAACTGGCAGGAAGTAACTAGTAATCATAAAAAGAGGCAAACTAAATTAATGAAACACTTTAGCAGCAATAATTAAGTAAATATTAAAAGATGCAGATAAGAATCAATGAGTTATATTTGTATAAACTTCTACCCTACCATTTAAGCAGCTCTTAACCTCCTTCGAACCCCTCTTTCACACATCCAGGCAGCTCTGTCCTGCTCCCTGCCTACTCATTCAGCCGTTCTGGGGGGCTGTCCCCTGAAAAATGTGTGATGTCAAGCACCCACTCACACAAAGTTTAATATGAGCATCACATGCTCAGGATAATACTTCTTTGCACTTTGTCTTGAGACCAGCTGACCTCGTCCCCCTCGTACCTCAGGCAAGAGAGGGAGGTTTTGTGGTTATGTGTGCACCATTTTATCCCCCTCCTCATCAGCTGCTCTCGAAGCACCCAGCCCTCCGGTTAAAGTCTGGGCAGAAATGTACGCATGACCAAATCAATGCCTTCTTCTGATAATAAGAGGAAGGAGTTAGCAAAGATGTGAAATCGGACTGATGTTTTACCAAAATCAGCATTGAAATTCATTTGACTTTGACGGAAATATATGTGGGGATCACCATATTAGTTTCTAACCAGGTTAACCAGGTAAAAAAAACAAAACATTTTTTTTTCAAGTCTTGTCTGCCCCTAAACATAGTATCCTACCTATTACATTTCAGCAAAAATCTGTAAATAACTAAAAAATTACAATAAACAGAACAGGAACATTTCAAACTTTCATACAATAAAACTTTCATACAATTTCATTTGAACATTTAGTTTAACTTGTCATTGTAAAGGTATAGTGGAGAATTTTCTGAAAAGACCTGCCCTCTCCACTTTAAAAAAAATACACATGCACAACCCTGTACCCGCTCCTGAGAGGGAATGCCTATTAAACGTGTGTGAGAGCATGCACAAGCCCATTTCTCCTCATGCACGCTCTGTTTGAAAGTTGCTGTTTGCATCACTCATACAAGCTTACTTTCAAAAAGAAGATTTGCAATTTTTCCACTATGTCAGACTCACCACCGGTAAGGGAAGATAGGGACAAGCCCGTAGGACCCGTAGGACGGCCTTACGCAAACCACTTCTTTTGATGATCCTCCCAAAAAAAGAACATCCTCCTCTATAGCTTTAAAAATACCATTTGAAGAAACTCTATAGCAGATAGAACTGCCTTCTTAAAGAAACTACAATCTCATGCAAATCTTTTCAGACTGTTTTATATATTTTTTTTCTGTTACAACTACCGGTACAAGCTTTCATGTATCTGATGGAATTTTGGTGACAAGCACAAAGCAGTGCTTAGTGGTGAATTGGAAGTAACACCATCTGTAGTTTTCAAAATTCTTTTGCAATACAAATCTACAAGTTAGACTGTGTCTATAAGTGTTCAGACCATTTACTCTGACAGTTGAACCTGAGAGGCAGGTTTTAACGTGCCTTGTCATTGTTACTCAACAACAGTGATAAACTATGCATAAACGGCAGAATATAGCAATGTATCTACGGTAATTAAACAGCAGAATCTAGGCTACAAGCAGCACAAACCTTTTTAAAATGTAAAAAATAGAAGATGTAAAACGTAATTATACGACACTATAGCTTCCTTAAAACATTTCTGCATCTACTGATACAAACCCTGATCAAACCAGCACAAAATACATATCAAATGTATATCCTCTACACCAGCATTGCAGAGATACAAACCTATAAACAGCATCAGAAGCTCAACCAGGATGGAACTAGTTTTAAAAATATCTTAATTTTGCTGTTTCACCAAATTTATTCACAGACATTGTGGTTGCACTCATTTTAACCAGAGTATGTAATTTCGAATAATACAGACATAGGGTTCAAATGGTTAAAAGAAATACTGTATAACCCGTTGCCTTTACAGTTCCTGTCATTATCCTCCTGTTTGTACTTTAATACCCGCATAAATCAAACTGTGAAGGCCTCAGTGGTTTGTTATAACTCATGAAGGAATTATAAGCATCATGGTGACTAAGGAGCCAAGTAAATAGGTCAGTGATAGAGTCATAAAAAAGTTTTAAGCAGACTTGGATTACAAAGCAAAACTTAAATATCTCGCTGAGGAGAGTTTGATCCATGATATAAGCATGTAGAGTATGCAGGAACACTAAGGGCACCAAGCATGGGCTTCACAGAGACACTTGGTATTATTATATTATCAGCTCATAAGTGGCATTTGTTGGAAGAAGAATACAGTTTGTTCTCCACAAATCTGCCATTTGTTAGGTATTGGTAATAAGAAAGCAATGAAAAGTGAGGGTTAAAAATTGTCACTGTTCACAAAGTTGGCAGCAAGCATTTTGATTTTAACCTTCTGATTAACAAAAACAAAAACGAAACATTTTTGCTTCTATTCTTTTGCATCCTATCAGAAAGATTTCCAGGGTCTCTCACCCTATGACTCCTGATTCTGAACCTATAGGATATAAGTAATTGATGGATGAATGTTTTATACATAGAATGATGTGTGGAGGAAAAAGTAACATAACAAGTATGTGTTATATTGGCATGCTTTTCAGAAGCAGGGACAGGGAAGCAAGTTTCAATAAAGAGGAAGGAAGTTGTAGGCAAATACAGGATAGGAATAAAAATAAAAGCTGTAACAGTTCAGACTGGAGTGGAGTCACCCCTCAGCAAGGCAATTGCCCTAAACATACAGCAGCAGCTACCTCTGAATGAATTAGATCAAGGTATGTTCATATGCTAAAATGTCCAAATCAAATCATCTGGCAACAAATATTGTTGATAACATTCACTTTGATTCTGTGTAGTATACAATTAGTTTTTTAAAAACTATTTTATAAAGTTATTTTAACTGCTGCCTGCACGTTTGATTCCCTTTCTTTCAATATTTTGGATTTCTAAATCATGATCTGAGTTTCATCTGAATGCAGTTAAAGCAGAAGCAATTACAACAATGCTGATGAAGGTTCTCAGTCATCCAGGTCAAAGTCATTCCGTAAAAATTCAAAAAATATCCACTGGACTTGGTTTTCAAGATTTGAAGACGTTTCGCCACCTCTCCAGGAAGCTTTCTCAATTCAAATGTCTGGATCCGCAGTGAGTTTGAGTCTTATATAGACAACGCCTTGTATCGCTTGGAAACATGCAAATGGTAACCGATGAATGGGTCGTTTAGTTCCATCGTTCCATCAGCATATTGGTATC